ATGGGCGATGGGCCGGGCGTAGCGGGAGCAGGGCAAAATGCGCCGGCGCAGGGCGACGCTTGTTATTTGCGCGGCCGTAGGGCCCATCAGTTTCAGAGGAGATTGCGCGCGAAGAGAGTTCCAGGGGTCGCGGGATCCACAAACATCGCGCGCGCTACTTGGGGGGCCTGCAGTCGGCCGCGTTTGCGCCGGGGCCTGAGCTACAAAAACGACTGGCCGCCGTCGAGGCCTCGCACATATCCGCGGGGCGCCTCTGGTTCAGCCCCCCCTCCTCCATATTTCCGTCGAGCGCGCCATCAGGGCCCTTCTCTACCCTCTCTGGGCTCGTGGTCTTCAGAGTCTCACTTTGAAGATGCGCCGCGCGATTCTTCGTGGCGCGGCCAGGTAGGAGAGGATGGCTAGACGCGTGAGGGCGATCGTGAACGCTGAGGCCATGGAGAAGTTCAAGCTTGCCCCCTTTCCTCTGAATGCGACGGACCAAACGGTTGCAGAAGATGGTGGAGAGGGGGGGGGGCTCGCAGTTGCAGGACTCAGATGCGCCCATGGCCGCGGAGTCGGGCGCCAGCCTACGCGAACCTCAGAGTGCGTCTGTTTGTTTTGTTCACGGACTGGCGCGAGTTTGTGAGTCTCGACGTGGACGAGCTCCGCGCGAGGTTTTTTCTTTTCGCAGACCCCGCCGCGGGGGCGCCCCAGGCTGGCGCGGGCAGAGGCGAGTGCAGCTGCAGCGAGTTGAACGCAGAAGGCACCGCGCGCGGCACAACATGGCCCACAAAAACAGCCGCTGCACGCGCGCATGTCATCTACGCGGGGGGGCAAGCGCGGCAAATGGCGCATGGGCAGAGAGCACTTGCGGCGACAAGATATTGCATGATGCGCCAGAGCCGTTCAGGGGCGAGGAAATTGCAATGCAACACCTCGCAGCGAACATGGTTCGAGGTTATTGCCCGAAGTCCGGGTCCCGATCTGCTAGCGTATTGGAGGAAGCCGATCGCCTCGAGTGCCCCCTGTGCCTCGACGCACACGATGCCACAGCTGATATATTCGAGCGCTCTCGTGCGCGCATTCAACCGCTTCTTCCACCTTCGTTTCGCATGCGAGAGTTGCAGCAATATGGCGGAGGAGGCCTCGAAGTGGCGGATCGCTCGCCTTGGGGCGCGGGCGGCCAGTTGGAGGCCCAGCATCGCAGGCGACGCCGCGGCCAAGATGTTCATGGGCGGCGGCAGGGGCGAGGCCATGGAGGACGGGGGCGAGCTGGACTGCGCGATGGCGGCGATGCAGTCGCTGCTCGCTGGAGAACGGGGTGCGCAGAACAGTGCTGATCGTCAAAAATTCGCCCATCGCGAAGGCCGTCAGCGACAGTTTCTAGACGTTCGCGACGAAAAAAAAGACGGAGAAGGCAGAAAAGTATATGGGCACTCCAGTTTTCCACCGCCTTTTCGGGGCTCTCGACGCTAACTTCGAGCGCAAGGGCGGGCCCCCGCGGATGGCCCGCGCGTTGGAGCACTCAAGCGCTTCGAGGAGATGCTCGAAACGGGCTCGCCGCAGGGCGCAGAGAAGTGGATCCGCGAGCTCCCGGCTCTACCGACCTCCGACGAGCCTGGCAAGGCAAGCAAGGTCCGCGTTATGTTCAGTTCCCAAGGCAAGTCGCTACTCTCGAAGGACCAGAGCCAGAACATCCCGATGATGAAGGCCATCGAGGACAAGGACCACGAGCTCCACAGCCTCAGCCCGGCGGAGCTCCCCACCGAGATGCTGCGCATGAAGGCTGCCCTCGTGCCCGTGTAGACGGCGTGCGCGGAGTCGCTCAGGAGCCTAGGCGGACAGCTACTTGGGGGGCGGGCTCCAAGAGGGAACATGGCGCGACTGATTGGAGGTGGAGCCCGGGGAAGTAAGCGTTAAACATCCTAGCGGTGCTAGGTTCGCGTCGCCACCTTGGTCCGTCGGTGGGCGTGGAGGCTTCCCCCCACGAGCTGCTTCCTGCTGGCTCGTGGGTGTTGATGGGGAGGGGCGGCCCAGTTATGCTTGGACGCAGCAGTCTTTCCGTGTTCAATGGTTTCTGCGAGTGCGGCACAGAGACGCACTCCATCTTCAGCTTTGATGCTAAGACATCATCGGACACCTCTTCCTCATGAATGTTCGGGAGTTGCTGGGCTGCTGGAGCATCGCAGATCGCACATGCTCGTTCGTGATGAGCTGGAACCTCGAGAGGCGAGCGGCTTGCCGCCTCGTGCAACACCCCCGCGCTGGCCCCAGGCTGCGGGCATCAGCGTCTGCAGGCACGCAGATACCAAAGAGCGGGCGTTATATACTGGTATCAACTCCATACCCGGGGTCGGTTTCCAGAGGCTGTTCAGAGAATCTGACCTGAATGGGAAGAGAGAGAGAGAGAGAGAAAGAGAGAGAGAAAGAGAGAAAGACAACAACACAAAACATAACGAGAGAGAGAGAGAGCGGGAGAGAGAGAGAGAGAAACAAAGAGAAAGAGAAAGAGAGAGAGAGAGAGAGAGACAGAGAGAGAGAGAACAACAACAACAAACAACTCCTCAACCTCCTCGTCCTCTTCATGCTCCTCCTCCTCCTCCGCCTCCTCCTCCTCTGTTCCCTCCTCTTGATCCAACTCCTCCCCCTCTTATGCTTCTCCTCATCTTTCTCCTCCTTTTCCTCCCTCCTCCTCCTCGGTACCAAATCGCGGGGGCTTCGTGTGCTTCCGAATTTCCGCTCTCAGAGTGCATTGGCGTGCGCTGGCGTCTGGTTATCGATGAGAGAGCGCCGGTTTATCGCCGATTGGTGTCGATGCGGCGGCGGCTGGCGTCAGTTAGCACGGGTCAGCGTGATTAGCGTTGGTAAGCGTCGGCCAGCGTCGATTTGCAAAAACAAGGAAGATGACACGGGAGGCTGCCGCGAGTTGCTGCAGAAGTCAGGAGGGGAAAAACACGCAGACAAAATTAATCGTCGACTCCCCAGAAAATATGAGAATATGGGAGGTGGGGGGGAGACAAAAACTTCAAAAATATTGAAATACATGGAGGGTCCTTTCTATTTGTGTGTTTGTGTGTATTTATTTGTGTGTCCAAGGGCCCCTTTCAAGAAGGAGAGAGATCCATCGCCATTCGTTGTCTCTGGGCCTTCTGGAACGGGGGTGAGCTTCGAAAGCGGCCAGCTTTCATGATCTCACAGGACCGGCCCAGGACGGGGAGGACCCGAACAGATTTTAGGAGGAGGAGGGGGAGGAGGAGGAGGAGGAGGAGGAGGAGGAGGCTGCCCTTCGTTGTTTCTTGGCATCCGGGGGTCCGGGGGGGGGGGGGTTCGTCGCCGCGGCGGGGGGCCTCGCTCGAGATTTCTGCTCGCCAGACAGCGCCCCGTGACTGGTCCGGGGTCCCACTCGCGAGGGGGCTGCAGACAGAACGCCGGAGCGAGGGCCTTCTATCGGAGGGCACCGACTATACACCAACACCGATCCTGGCCCAGGATCACCCTGGGCCCAGGATCGGTGTATATGCCTTCTTGCGCAAGGCAGGAGGGCCTATACACCGATCCTGGGCCCAGGGTCATCCTGGGCCAGGATCGGTGTTGGTGTATAGTTGGTGCCTTCCTATTCTATGGCTCTGGCTCCCTGATCGCTGGATGCCGGAATTTCCCAGCCGCGGCCGACGAGGTCGACCGCCACTGACTTTGCGTCAAAGTCCGGTATCGGTGGCGACCGTCTTGCCTCGAAATCGGTCGCGACCGACGGCTCGCGGCCGTCTTGTCGCGATCAGTCGCGACCGAAAAAATGAGATCCAATAATCAGGGCTTGATACGAGGCTCGGGGCTTCTTCGGGCTTCTCCCTGGGAGTTTCTCGTGATTCTAGGCCTCCCAGATGGTGTCCTGGCAGATGAGGTCGGAGGATGGTGCCGCATCGCCGATGCATCGGGGATGCGGCTCGATGTGGAGCCCGATGTTCTCCATGCCGACGTCGCCGATGCATCATCGGTGCGGCGCGATCCTTCGGCGGCATCTGCTCGGACCCCATTCAGGGGACCTCCGGGGCAACCGGGGCCAGAAAGGGGAGCCATTCTGTGCGTGATGTTCCCTCGGACGAGGCTTCGACTGTATATCACCACCCACCAAACCACCCCAACCCAACCCGAAAGCCTCAAATTGACCTCCATTTCCAGTGGAGGGTGGTCGGGGAACATCGAGAAAACACATATGGAACCCGTACCCCCCCCAACCCGAAATTCGGGTCTTCGGGTTGGGTTGGGGTGGTCTGGTAGGTAGTCAGTATAGTGTCGTCTCCCCCTGACGTCGGGGCGTCGTGCACGAGCGCTTCCTCGGCCCGCGTCTGGTCCCAGGGGGCCCGCACGGATCGCCCGGGCTGGAGCCACGCGCGGAGGCGTGGTCGAGAGATGTGGTTCGGATTGTGCGGCGTTGTTTGCTTGCTTCAGACGTCGAATCTCGAGGTGCTGATGTTCCATCCTCTCTTGCGCATCCTCCTCCGATGTTCTCTCGTTCTCTCTCTCGCTCTCGCCCTCGCTGCCTCGCTCTTTCTTTTTTTGTATCCCGCGCCCTAGCTTTCTGTTTGTTCTCTCTCTCTCTCTCTCTCTCTATATATATATATATATTTCGTTCTCTCGTGCATGGTGGTTATTGTATTCTTGCTCGCTCGCTCTCTCTCTCTCTCTCTCAATCTCTCTCTCTCTCTCTCTCCTCTAACTCTCTCTCTCTCTCTCTACCCACCCCAATCCTTCCATCCGCCCCTTCTGCAGCACTGCACCCTTCTCTGGTATGTAAAAGTGCCTCATTCGTGGCGGCCCAGTGCGGCTATCAGATGCCTGCGTGCACAGTTTCAGCTGTATGTAGTCGCGCGCGGTGTATATTTGTCGCTGCACCGACAGGCGTCCCCCGCGTTGAGGCATTGGCGATGTGCTCCAACGTTGCGCGCTCCGCGTCGTCATTCTTGGCTGCACCGGTTTCCTCTTGTGCCGCCGCCGCCCCCCCCCTTGGGAACCCGGCGCAGAACGCACAGTCGGCGGCAAGAGGGCGCGTGGTGGCGAGCTCAGTCGGTATTGGATGTATCCCTCTGCCAGCTCTGCCTCCACCCTCCTCTCCCGCCTGTCCTTTGCTACCCCCTGGCTGTTGACGGGGGCCGCACATCCTGCCCCGCCTCCTCTTCCTCCTCTTCCTCCTCCTCCTCCTTCCATCGAGAATAACATAACCCCTAACCCTGATAAAACAGTGAGGACGTGTCCTCACCGAGGTCCCCGTCTTCGCATCAGGGATGATTCTGGGCGGTTTGGTTCGATACATCTGCAGAACAGAGCCCCTGTCCCTACTGTTCTTGGCCCTCCTAACTTAGGGCCCCTCCCAAAGGATTAGGGGTTCTTTTTTGGTTAATCCTCCTCTTCCTCCTCCTCCTCCTCTTCCATTCCTTATCTGTATAAGTAACTCCTCCCTGTCGCACCTCGCGGCGTGTCGGTAGGGCGGGCCAGGCGTTTTGTTCGAGATGTCCTCACCGCCTGCGATCCTTGAGCCGAAGCGCTGCAAGAGCTTCACGGATGGAGGGCGGGCCGTCTTCAAAATGTGGTTCTCGCTTCAGCGTCGCGCACATGCGTTTCAAAAGTTGGCAACAACTCCACGGATGGAGGGCGGATGGCTTTCAAAACGTGGCTCTCGCCCCAGCGCCGCGCACATTCGTTTGAAGAGTTTGCAGCAGCTGCTGGGATTATCATGGTTAGCGCCCCAGAAACTGCATTTTGGCACGATGTCGGACGATCGGTGCGCAACAGTTACGTTGAGTCGCGGTGTCGACGTACCAGGAATTGTGTTCTGGCACGACTCAGGGCCGTCAAGATTCAGCAGTAACGATGACTCGCGGCGCTGGAGTCCCAGGAATGGTGTTCTGGTACAGTTCTGAACTTTCGAACGGTTGCCTTCCAACCGGGCATTTTCCTAGTGACAGCGAATCTTCGCAGGGGCCTTTGAGGAGGGAACTTGGAAGAAGGAACTTGGGGGTCTCCTCCTCCTCCTCCTCCTCTCTGCGCTCAGCGTCGTAGCCTTGCACGCGCCGGTCCGCAAAGGTGGCAGGGAGCGGCCATTAGAGGCTTGTTTCCTCTGCGACCAGCAGCACGGCTCGTTGGTTGTGTGTTGGCAGTTCTGTCCGGATCTTTCCAGAGAAGCGTGCAGCCCTTGACATCTTCTTGGGAGAAGCACGGCACCCCCCTGACGTCAACATGTCGCATGTGTCAGGCCACAGTGTACGAGCTACGATGAGTGCGGGCCCAAGCGAGCAGTTTCAGGACTCCTCTTGCGCACATGCGTGCAGCCGACGAGCCGGGTGGTGCGTGTCCGAAGTCGCCCACGTGTTTTTCGGTTGTGCGCAAGAGGGTGCCGGCCGAGGGGCGGCCTGCTAAACAAGAAGATGAGGTTTTTTTGTTTCCTCCCCAGGGTAACGCTCGTCACCCGGGCCAAACCCCTTCCCCCCCGGGTAACGCCAACGATCGTGCTGGGGGGGGTGAACACCCCCCAACATGCTGTTGTGCACACAGGCGATTGATGCGCCGGTGGCGCGGCCTGGCGGGTGCACGCGGCGGACGCCCGTTACCCTTCCGCCCGACCCCCCCCCCCGGTAACGACCGTTACCCAGAAAGAAAAAAAGCGGTCACAAGACGCCACGTTTCTTAGAAGCCCTCCCGTCCTACAAGAGGCCCTTGAAAGATGCCGACCTTGCTTGCGCGCCGTCTGATCTGCACGCCCTCGCCGCTTCATGATCGGCAGTCCAAGTAGGTTTGCAGTCAAAACCGCAGATGTCCAAGACGGGCTCTGGATTGCGCGACTCGCCAGTTCGAAACCGTGGTCTCGCGCGTGTGCAAAGAGAAGTGTAGGAGGTCAGCACAAGCGCTGGTGTGATTGAGTTGTTTCACTACGGTGGAAACCCATGGCAAGGAACACTCTTGGGTGCCCAGGGTTTCTTGGGTTCCGTTTCTTGTTGCTGTGGGAGGCGTGACGCTCCCACACCAAACCTCAAGGGACGTCCTGGGGTTCCAGGGTTGGGCTTCTCGTGGAGGGTTCCTTGTGTAGGGGGCCACATGCCAACCCTACCCCCACCTCCCACGATTTCTGAGGGGAGGGTGGGGTTCACTTCGCTCGGGAGCTCCCTAACGAAGTGAACCCCACCCTCCCCCTCAGAAATCGTGCGGGGTAGGGGTAGGGTTCGCATGTGTTCCCCTATTGTGGTCGAACTCCTGCTGCACTGCCTGGCGCGCGTGCTGTTTCACATCTTCCGGCCCAGCGCCGCGCCGTGGACCACGGCGCTCGGCCCCTCCCCTCGGGGCCGCTGCGCTGTGCTGTGCTGTGCTGCCACCCCGTGGTACGTGGCAGAGCAGAGCAGGGCGCAGCGAGGTCTTCGACACCAGCTGCGAGGGGAGGGGGAGGAGGAGGAGGAGGAGGAGGAGGAGGAGGAGGAGGAGGAGGAGGGAAAGGACGGGAGGAGGAGGAGGAGGAGGAAAGGAGGAGGAGGAGGAGGAGGGGAGGAGGAGGAGGAGGAGGAGGAGGAGGAGGAGGAGGAGGAGGAGGAGGAGGAGGACGAGGAGGAGGAGGAGGAGGAGGAGGAGGAGGAGGATCAGGAGGAGGATCAGGGGGAGGGCTCGCGACTGGAAGCGGGCGCGTCCTTCGAGGCCCCAGCCCAGGCCGACCTCTCCGGTGGACCCGATCGGGAGGAGCAGCGCTGCGCGATGGTGCGGTCAGGGACGTCTGCGCAGCGCGTCGGGCCGCGGGTTCTGGCCCACCGTGCTTCGGAGCGGCACGCTGACCACCTTCCAGTCCCCGGGCGTCGGCGTCCCGCGCCTTACCAACCGCGCGTCTCGCCAGGCGCAGCGGCCCGCTGTCGGCTCGCGTGGCGTGGCCCTTGCGCCGGGGCCGCCGCCGCGACACGCTAAGCAGAAGGTCCTGTCTCGGAGTGCGGTGGGCGCACAGACAGGAAGAGCAGCCAGGATCGAAGAGGCGTTGCGCGTACTCCGCTTGTTCCGCCCTTGTCCTCGCCGCACGATGGTTACTTCATGTTCAGTCTCCTGCTGTAGATCGTCCTCAACATGTGCACCCTTCGTCCTCCTGCTCTTCCTTTCTTTGCCTTCTGCGCATGCTCCTCGTCACCATCATTCTAGTTGTATCCCTGCTACTCTTCCAGCACGCCCTTGTCCGTCTCTCCCCCTGTCCTCCTCATTCCCCTCCTACTACTGCTACTGATCATCATCATGAAAAGGTTATCCTCCCGATCGTCATGCTCCTGCTTTATGATTATTCCTGCTCCTACTCGTTCTCCTCCCCGTCCTCTCTGCATCTGTTGATGCCTCCTCTTCGTACCCTCCCCGTCATCCCCTTCTCCACTCCTACTTGAGCTCCTGCCCCTCATCCTTCAACCTCTCCTCCTCCTCACCACTACCACCATCATCATCAGCAGCATCATCAACATCATCATCGTCGTCGTCATCGTCATCATCATCACGGTCATCATCACGGTCATCATCATGGCCATCATCATCATCATCATCATCATCACCATCATCATCATCATCACCATCATCATCATCAGCATCATCATCATCACCATCATCATCATCAGCATCGTCATTATCAGCATCATCATCATTATCAGCATCATCATCATCAGCATCATCATCATCATCATCATCACCATCACCATCACCATCACCATCATCATCACCATCACTAGCAGCTGTCATCTTCCCATCAACTTCCTCCTCGCCAGCCTCATCACTAGAGGGTCCCAGGAGGCCCGGACACAGACAGGCACAACCAGAGTCACAAACCAGCTCGGCCCCCGACCCTCGACGAAGGATTCCCCCCCGAGCCTAATCTCTGGCTCCCAGGCCTCCCCCCGTCGTGCCGAGGTGGTGCGGGTCTACGACCTCGGGCAGACCATCATGCCGCGGGCCGACGCCCACCTCCTCCCCCCCGAGACGCGAGGGGCGACAGGGAGGACCCCGGCCTCGAGTGTAAAAGGGTGGCGGAGACTTCGATTATAACAGGGTGCACCAAGCAGTGTCTGCCGAGGAACAAAGCAGGAGGACACCCCGGCCTCCACGCGTCGAGGACGGGAGTGCGGGCGGGCGCCGCTCGGCGCCCGGGGGGCCTCGAGAGCAGAGGCCCATGGACGCTCGAGGCGCGCAGGGGGGGCCCACAGGCGGAGGGCGAGCGGCGTCGTGAGCCTCCTCTGGTGGCCACGCCCGGGGCTCGCCTCGGAGATCGGCAACAGAGCGCTCCCCGGGACAGGTCTGCGGGTCGACGCTGAGGCATGGCGCCCAGACCCCTGGCAAGGAGGAGCTGGGAGGAGGCAGGGAGGGGGGCAGGGATGCACTGATCAGCAGGGCAGCAGGGCCCCTGCTGCCACCTGTCGCAGGAAGGCTCATTCAAAGAGTTGGGAGGAACGACTTCGCAGGAGAGAACGAGTCCCGGTCTCACGGTGGAGGACGCTGGAGACGGTACGAGGACGAGGAAGGAGGTGTGACATAAGGAGGAAGGGGGAGGAGGATAAGGAGGGAGGAAGAGGGCGGTGGAGGAAAAGGAGGAGCGGGAAGGGGAGGAGGAGGTGGCGGAGGAGGAGGAAGCGGAAGAAGAGGGAGGAGATGAGGGAGGGGGGGAGGAGTGAGGAGGGAGGGGGAGGAAGAGGGAGGAGGAGGAAGAGGAGAAGCACCAGCACGCGCGCACGCCCCAGCGGTGTGGGCCAGCGGCTCACGTGCGACGCGCCCTTTTGCGCCGAGGGCTTCCTCCGCGTCCTCGCCGTCCTCCCCGGACTCCCCTGGCGACTCGAGCAGATTACGCCCTGGGTGTCCCTCGGGCGGGGCCCGGGCGAGCGTTCTGGAGGGCCTCTGGAGCGCTCTTTGAACGGCCGAGGCCGTCGATACGTCCTCCAGAGCCGTGGGATCTCAGAGAGCCACGGCCTGTCCGGGTCCGGTGTTGTCTCTGTCCTTGTCTTGCCAAGCATTTTCTTTGGGTGGAGGGCAAAGGGTGAAATCTGACATGCCATTTTGATTGGCTTTCGAGGTTTGCATCTGCAGAAGGATAATCACAAGACGGAATGATTCTCGAGGTGCAAACGCCCATAATTATGGATTTCACCCTGAGCCCTCCACCCTAAGAAAATGATCAGTCTTAGTTTCTTCTGGGCCTCAGGATGTTCTGCGTGTGGAGGCTTTCCCTCGGGCCTCGGCCGCGTCGGCAGGACGGCTCAGAACGGGCAGCACGTCTCGGGAAAGGGGGTCGGCGACTCGGGGCAAGAAATAAGTCGGGCCTGTCCCTCTACAGGAGGAGTATTCAAACATAGTCTACAAATGAGATGGGGACGACTGTTTGACTATTTGGAACATTTTTGGAGTATCTTCTTGTCTACGTTTATAAACTCCTCAAACTCCCCCTGTAAGGGGACACGCCCGACTGAAGGCAAGACCAGGCGTCGGAATATGGCTCCTCCTCTCGTGTTGCACACTACGTTGTCCCTGCGGCTAGTCCGCGTAGTGCCGACGCGGCGGCGACCCCGCCGCGGGCGTTCGGAGTTGAACGCCGGCCGTGGCCCAGAATCGGCCACTAGGGAGCGATGGGCGATCGGAAAGCCGCCGATCGTTCGTGGTTGAACGATCCAGGCGGCATCAGAAACTAACGCCAGAGTCTTCACGACTGGATTCTACCGCAAGTACCCGTGACCACGCAATCACCGGTGACCCTCATGATTGAGTGATGCCAGGCTTTCAGTGACCATGAGCAAGAAGATCCGATTCGATCTTCTCCGAAGCAATGCAGTTTCAATGCTCTCCTCGTCAGCGTCGACGTCTTGTCGTCGCCGACGCTGCAGATTGCTATAGATGTTCTTTTAGAAGGGTCCTTCCTGGGGCCCACCTGACGGAATTGTTGGACTCCAGTTCGAAAATGATTCGCTTCTAGATTCAATTCAAGTTCGACTCGAGTCGACGGACGTTCGCTGCAGCATCGACGCACGAGTGCAGCGAGTGGCTCCAGGAAGGCCCCCCGAACGAGCATCTAAGATCTGCGGCCGGCGGATGCGGAGAGAGCGATGGCTGTCCCGCCTCACCCGCTCGGGCAGCCACCTTCCAGGGCACGCTTGCTCCGAAGGAGGAGGAGGAGGAGGAGGAACGAGGAACGAGGAGGAGGAGGAAGAGGAGGAGGAGGAGGAGAATCATCGATGGAGAGGGGAGGACGAGGACGAGGGAGGAGGACGAGGACGAGGGAGGAGGAGGAGGAGGAGGAGGAGGAGGAGCAGGAGGCGGAGGAGGAGGCGGAGGAGGAGGAGGAGGAGGAGGAGGAGGAGGAGGATCATCGATGGAGAGGGGAGGAGGACGAGCCTCCTCGAGAAGGGGGAGGACCCTCCTCCTCCCCCTTCTCGAGGGCCCTCCTCGAGAAGGGGCAGGGCCTCCGATCCCCGATCCTCTTGGCGGTGCGTGAACCTGCTCCCGAGCGGGCAGGCACCGGTGGCGGCACCGACGGCGGCACCGGCGGCGGTATCTCAGAGCCCCGAATCAGCAGGGGTAACTCGGGTCAGGGATAACTCGGGTACGTTTTTCGGGAATCCGAGCCCGAGTTATCCCGGACCCGAGTTACCCCGGATAACTCGGGCGTCCAGAGCCCCGAATCATGAGGGGTAACTCGGGTCAGGGCTAACTCGGGTTTCTTTTTCGGAAATCCAAACCCGAGTTACCCCGGACCCGAGTTACCCCGGATAACTCGGGCGCCCAAGTATCGGGAGGAAGGGCGTGAGAGAGCGCAACCGTTGAATTGGTCCTGCCGTCTACTTTGACTCACGTTGCCAGTCCTGCTCTTTCTCTTGCCTCCCCTCTGCGGGGGCAGTGCACCCTCCTGGAGCGGTCGTGGCGAAAAGTCTTCTGGGGGACTTCTCTGGGAGCAGTTTGTTCGTCCTTGGTCCGTTTCTGACGCTTCCTTGGTCCGGAAACCGCCCCCAGAGGCCAACAGCTACAAAAAACGACTGCGACGAAAACACACATTTCGACAGTGAAAGTTGCATTACTTGTTTTGAACCATGCAGGACGTGCCCGCTGCTTCTCCTGTCACCTACTCGTCCTCGCCGCGACCTTCTTGGCTGGAGCGGTGGTGTCGCATCCGAGCGATACGTCTTTTCGCACACGCCTCCTTTTCACTTCGCATCGCAGTCAGCATCGTCAGACCGGGCCGCACTCTGGACTGGTCGCCGCTCTTCCCCCCCCCCCTGGGACCCACTCTCGCCAGCCTTGGGCCCCCTGTCTGGCCTGCCCCCACCCCCCCCCTGCAGGGTAGTCGAAGGCCAGACTGTCAGATGGGATTGGGCCCCAAAAGGGCCAATCTGGCCCGGCCAAACTGGAGGATTTGGGTTCTTCGCCAGACTGGATTCGCGTTGGCTCTTCCTCGCCGGATTGCCCCCGCTTGCCAGATTGGGCCTGCCAGATTGGCTTCGACTACCCCCCCCTGGACGTCCGAGCGATGGCGAGATCCCCCGGTGCCCCGAACGCCAGCGCCCCGAGCCTCTCCCGGCCTCCCACCCCGCGAGGCGGTGCGAGACCCGCTGGCCTCTCGCAGGGCACGGCGCGTGTCGCCGGGGCCCCCGCCGCGGCACGCAGAGCTTTCGGGAGGGGGAAAGGACAGAAAACCCCCAACAGTGACGCGTCGATTCGTGAATGGTCCGTTTTCGGTTCTCGAGAGGGCGCCGTGGCCGTTATTTTCCAGGCCTGCGCCCGCCAGGTTTGGGCCTCAGGTCGTTTTCACGAAACCACGTTTTACTAAAGGGGGGTCTGTCCATCCCCGGATTCAGGAGGGGGAAAAGACACAGGCACAAGTGATCGTCGATTCCCAGACAAATGCGGGCAAATATGGGAAGTGGGGGGGAAGGCAAAAACACGGAAGATATGCGAACATATTGGGAATCCTGTTGTTTGTGTCTATTGGTTTGTGTGTCCCAGGGCCCTTTCAGAGCTCCTGACCGGGGGCTCGGGAAGCCCCCCCCCCCACCTGGAAGCCAAGCGTCGAAGAAGGCAAAGGCGGCATCAACATCAAGTTTCGGCGCTCCGCGCGGGTTTCTTGGATCCGAGCCGGGCGGATCTAGCACGAGCTGGGTTCAGCCGTGGCGACGAGGAGGCTTCCCATAGGCCCAGGAGAAGAAACAAGCAAACGGGATCTCAGGGACGTCGTCGGGCGTCTCAGGCGAGTCGACGCTGGATGTCTGCACCGGCTCGCTCGACGTAGGCATTCGGGTGTACCGGTGCAGTCCCCAGTCGGTGTCGCCAATCGAGGAGTCACCTGGCTGGGTACACTCACCTGTGCCCATCCACTGTTGCCCCGCCCGGGTCCCCCCCGACTGCGGTGCCGTGCTCACGCGGAGCGCCCCTGCTTACAAGGCATCGCCCAAGAGCGTGTTGCTAAAGGGTGTGTTGTCAAACGCGGCCGCACGCAGAGGGTGGCCATTCGGGGGGGAGGGACGGGCTTCTCAGAAGCAGCCCTGCTTCTTAGAAGGCGCGCGCCTCGTCTGTAGATGCAAGGCCGGCGCCTTCTAAGAGGCAGCCTCCTTCCAAGAAGTCTTCCCCCTTCCCCCTACCCCCTTGCGCGCGCCTCCAACATCGGGCGGGGCCAGGACGAGGATGAATCCGGTCCAGAGCCTTCCGAACCGCTCCCGGAGCATTCTGCAACGCTCCGAGAGGGCCGCGGCGCCCGAGGCATCCTCGAGAGCCGCTGGACCTCCGAGATCCTCGATGCATCCCCACCCGATCTTGTCCTCGCCCTGGCTTCGTCCTACACGGGAGCCCGTGTGAAGCTCGTGTCGCTGGACCCCTGCAGTGGACTCGGCGAGCCCGCGGGACCTTCCGACCCCCTCGAGCGGCGCCCGGCGCCTGGCGTCCGCGGCGGCGGCGGGCCGTTGGGGGCAGGGCAGGGCAGGGCTGGATGCTCGGCATCGCCCAGGCATGGGCGCTTTGTTTCCCAACCATCTTGTGGTGTTGGGTCCTCGTTTTGAAGAAGCGGCCCCCGCGTCTCCTCCTCCCGTGCCCCCCCCCCCCAGTGAGGGTACCACGTGCGCCCGCCACACCTGGTACAGCGCTTCGTGGCCCCATGGGGAGTTCCACCCAGGGCCCCGGCGGGGGTGGCCACACGCGTCCGCCACACCCACTACGGCGCTTCGTGACCCCATAGGGAGCCCCACCTAAGGCCCCAGT